TTCTCTTATATTTTGGGATGCTGTATATTTTAGGTTGCGTGCCCATAATTTCCCACACTGTGACAGATAAAATGGATGCCCTATATTACTGGCCCACCTAATCATTGGATATTTAATAGTTTCTTCTTCACTATCATACTTCTGTAAAACCTTATATAGTTTAGCAATAATCTTCTTGGTGCATCCACATAATATCCTCCCTAAATCCATCTGGGTTTTTAAAAATTCCCTATTCTTCCTGTTCATCACCATTCTTTCTCTTAATTGTCTGTACACAAACCAATGCAATTTTAAATCTTCACTTTCTAATTCCATCTCTGTCTTTAATATAAATGTATCATCCTTTTGACATCTCAGCAGGCTTTTGTATGTAAGCCATTTATCTCTAACAGTGTGGGAGAGTGCTGGAGTCTCCTTCTTTGGAGGTCTTTAAACAGAGACTGGATGGCCATCTGCTGGGTTTGCTTTGATTGAGAGTTCCTGCATGGCAGGGGGTTGGACTGGATGGCTGGATCTCCTCAAACAGTGGTTGTTAACTTCTTTATTTATTCCCCCCCCCATCATATTCAAAATAGGCATGCCATCCACACTTCAGACCATCTCCCTTCAGTCCTAACAATCTTTTGTCCTCCAGTACTACCCATTCTCTCAACCATGCCAAGCAGACTGCTTCACAGTACAGTTTTAAATTTGGAACTTCCAGGCCTCCTCTCTCGCAAGCATCCTGAAGGCTTTTCAACTTTAACCTAGGCTTTTCCCCTCTCCATATAAAATTTGAGAGGTCCTTGTGCCAATCCTTAAATGGTTTATCTGTCATTATTACTGGGAACATATGAAACATAAATATCAACTTTAGTAAGATTGTCATTCTTATTGTTGAGATTCTTCCTAGCATTGAAAGTGAAACTGTTTCCATTTCTCCAAATCCTTCTTAATCTTATTCCGCATTTGAGTATAATTATTTTCATACAATTCTGATGTTTTATTTGTAACTGTCACCCCAAAATATTTAGCTTTTTGACCTAATTTTATACCTTATTTTTTTTTATGATTTCTTGTCCATCCACAGTATTCAAATTTTTCCCTATTATTGTTGATTTTTCTTTATTTAATCTACATCCTATAACTTCTCCAAATTCCTCAAACAGTTTTATTAAGCATTCAATGTTTGATCAAATGGTGCTGGTATTTCTTGATTTTTAAAGTGACTGTGTGTGTGTGTGCAGCAACTAGCAGTTCTGAATAAGGAGTGAAGACATCAATGGCTAAAAAACCAAACTAAAGCTTTATTGTAAGAACTTCAATAGAGATAGGAAAGTTCTCTAAGGGTGCTTAATTAAGCTAGCTTTGATTTTAGTAGGAGAGAATAAGATGGTGAAGAAAGGAGGAGAAAAGATTAGTTTACCTCCCAGAGAGGTTAGAATAGGTGAGTAAGAGTTGCGGTTACTTTGCATCATTGACTGCTCTCTTGAAGACATCTTTAATTCTTTTTAAAGTACTGATTGTTGTTGCATTTCCAGTGTAAAAAAACAAGATGATTTGGGGAATGCACCTGCACTGTAGAAATAATGCAATTCGACAGTACGTTAACTTCCATGGCCTCTACAGAATCCTGAGATTTGTAATTTTGGGAGGCACCATCGCTCTTTGAAGAAAAGGTTAAAGACCTTGAAAAACTACAAACCCCAGGATCCCATAGGATGGAGCTACAGTACTTAAAGTGGTGTCAAACTGTAATATTTCTACAGTGTAGATGCACACTTGGAAGCATAATATCTGT